ATTTTACCCACGGTAATATTTTCTCGGTATATACTGGGGGAACTACAATGGGAAAAAAATTAAAACAAAGCAAAAAAAAAAATGATAACGTGTCATTTTTACCAATAGAATTACCGATAAAATTTCATCGATAAAATCGTTGGTAAACTGTAAACACTGTTCATCATATCAAATATAAAGAGAATAACCGATAGACTATTCCGTCAATATTTTACAAAAAGCTCTATAACTGTTCACTTTCCAATTGCATTGTCAATTGTTCTTCTTTACTGACAAAATCACCAACGGATTGAAAAATCATCGGTGATTGTTAACGGTTTCTGAAAATTTTTTATGAAATTAAAATTTTAAATTAAGTATTATAGACAAAATTACCGACGGGATAATTAAAAAATGTTAATATTTAATTATCTGTCGGTGAGACCATAGCTAACGCGCCTCAATAAAAAACTTGAATCCCCTATTTCACAAGAGACAGATTCATTTCTTCTTCTTCTTCTTCTTCTTCTTCTTCTTTTTCCTTATGTGTAAAAAACATCAATTTTTCTTCTTTTCTCTCCTTATCTCTTTCTCTTCTTCTCTGTGCTCAGGTATGCTTTCTTCTTCTTTCTTCTTTTATCCTCTTTTTTCTAATTAATATGCTGAACGATTTTTTCTCTCTCTCCTTAGCTTCACTTGTAACTACATTAAAGTAAGATTTTTTTTTTCTTTTTTCATGATTTTTTTCACTATATTTGTTTTTAGCCTTAATAATTGTATGAATGTTGTTGTGAGATTTTTTTTCATATAAGATCAATTTTTAGTTGATTTATTTATAGGATTTTAAAATTTTTAGCAATCACAACTTTATTTTTTTCATATGAATTTTTTTAGTTGAATTTATTTTTTTATTTTATTTATTTGTTGCAAATTTGTTTGAGTTGATTTTTTCTTTTTTTTCCCCAAGCATTTTGAGTATATTATAGAGTGTTAATTTATGTTAATTCAATTATTTTATAATTTTATAAAATAATTTTTTTAAAATGTTTTTAAATAATTACCGACAGAATTAGCAATGGTATTTTTTGAGGGATATACTGACGGAATGAAGCGGGTAATGTTTTTTTACACGTTTGTTTTGTCAGTAATAATATTTTTTATTACTAACAAATTTATCGATGAACAAAAAATTACTAATAAAAAATTCATCGATGAAGTATTTTTATTTGTAATTTTATTAATAAATTAATTATCGATAGAATGTATATTTTATACTGACTGAAAAATTCTTTTAATAAAACTATTAAATGATAATGAAAATTCTATTCAGACATCGTCAAAAATGAAAAATAACTTACTAACGGTACATGTTCTGCGCAAGTAATGATCATTATACATACCTTTTTTTTTCTTTTTTTTTTTATTAACGTGGGTGTCCGGGCCAGCTTACGCGCACCACGACTAATCCCACGGTCCACTGGACATCCGGCAAGCCTCAGTGAACAGGTTAGGCACTGCGGGGGTGACAGACGTATCACACAGCAAGGAGCCAGCAGAACCAGGAAGGACACCACTCGCCAGCCCCACCCCCACCCTCATTGTACATACCTTAATCCCAAGGCAAAGCAACATAAAATCCAAATTAGAAATTTCAGCATGATTCCGATAGTTGTGCTCGTGATGGTGGGTGATTCGCTTCCTCAGAATTATTTTCGAATGACTTGTGAAAGTATCAAGGAAGGAAAATCTTTTCTCAACCACCAAGCAAGAATGCTTTTTGTCGAACACTCACATATATCCAGAAGATGGTCAAAAAAAAAAAAAAAGATGGAAATATATCCTCAAAAACAAAAATAGAACAAATATTATGTTCCAATAACGTTTCACATACATGGTACAACACTTTTTCCAAGCACTTATGTTCTTATTTTTGTACCTTTCTATACATACCCAGTAAAAGTACCATTTATACTGTATTTGCTAACTTCACATATAGAAAATTATTATTTTAAAAAATAATGTTCCAAATATGTAAAAAAAAAAGGATATTTGAAAAACAATGAATATATCCTCCTATAGGAGATAGCATCAGAAAATGTTTTACAACGCGTTGTAAATATTTTTAGCTAAAATTTAATATGATTTGGATCATTTTGATGTATTGATATCAAAAATAATTTTTAAAAAATAAAAAAATATTATTGGCATGTATTTCGTACGAAAAGCTATTTAAAAAGTAACCGTAACCACATTGTCAAATAGACGCTTAACGAGCAATAACTGCATAGCTATTAAATTGGAACTGGTGGTTGACTAATGATCTAAAGATCTGATAAAACCTAGTTGAAACTTGTATTTTTTTCTAGCCAAAGATTTTTTTTTAGTTGATTATTAATTCTTTTCAAAGTTTACTATATAAATACTAAAAAAATATTTTATTTTTTCAATGTGAATATTTTAAAGCCCTTTAATATATATATATATATATATATATTCTATGTTCATAAGAAAAAATTATTTTTTCAATATGGAATTTGAAACCATTTAATATATATACTCTATATTAACAAGAAAAAAATTGTGTTTTTTCAATAAGAAATAAAAACTATTTTTGAATTAAATACTTCAACTTAAAAGGATAATATACTAATATAGTATCTTTTCAATATAGAATAAAAATCTTTACAAATAATCTTTTAAACTTCATTATTTATAACATGTGTAATCTATATTCAAATGGATTATTTCATAATTTTTTCATATAAAATATTAAAACTTTAAATATTTTGTTTTAAAATTTTTTGAGTTGATTCGAGTTGATCTGGATCAACCCATGTAACCTGAGTCCCGACTTTTTAGTTGGGTCAACCCTAGATCGGGTCTAATAACTATGGGTAAAAGGTCTATGGATCCCAAAATAAGCTATATTGATGAAAAATGTTGAATTTATTAAAAATTCTTATCAATTTATAGACTTATTAATTTTGACTTTAATATTAAAAAATTAAATACAAAATTATCTGTTTCGATAATATACATATATTAGTAACTAAAATTGGAATTTTAATAACGATTTTAATGCCTTTTTCGTATAAAGCTAATTATTAGTAATTTAATTAACTTTGTTTGTAAGAAATTAATTATTAGTATTTGTATTCATCCTATCTCTAATTAGGAAGTTATTAAAATAACAATACATAATTTCTAAATATAGTATGGAAATGACGATGCATTTATACTTTATTTAAAATAATAAAATTAGTATTTTTTATTAAAAAATATTTTTAATATTAGTGTATCAAAATGATCTAAAAACATAAAAAAAAAATTAATTTGAAGTAAAGAAAAAAGAAAACAAATTTAAATGTTTTTAAAATATTTTCAAAATACAAAAAGAAACAAGCTCTAATACTGAAAAGAGCCTTTACTATTAATTTTTCATTAATTATAAGGCTTTCTATAATTTCTTACCTTTAATTTATCCAGACAAGTGTTATTAGCAAATTAGTACTCTAGCATTTTATTTTTATTTTTCTTATTTTGTATTATTAGAGTATTTTATTTTTTTATTTAAATAATTATAATAGCTTTTTGAAAAATAAAAAAATAAATGAATAAAAGTTAAATTTGTGCATTCTATTGTGTGTGTGTGTTTTTTTTTTTGTTGTAAATTTTAATCTGTCTTGTTAGGGTTTATATGTTTTCTATATTTTACCTAAAAATTTTAATTTATTTAAATTAATTAAATCCCGTATCTTTTATTTTTGTTTCACTTTGTGTAAATTTCAATTTCATCAACAAAGTTTATGAAAAAAAAATATGATAATTTTTTTCCCCACCAACATTATATATATATTGAACAAAAATCCTTGAGAAAAAGCAATAATATCCCATATAAATTTAAGTTTAGGGATTATGTTTTGAAAACCAAATGGCCAAATATACTGGGTAGGGCAAGAAATTGGAAAACGTACATCAACCTTTCGGCTTTTGGATCTTCTTGTGGAAAATGCAGCTACGGGCTCATAAATACTCGTTGGGTCAAGTGCGGATAAGGACATAGATTCTTTGAAATTAGAATGAGATTGTCGATGCCTTGATGATATTCCTTAATAATTTTTAATATCCCATATAAATGGAATGGTAGCTTGAATATAGGACAATTTTAACATCACATAATGTTTTGACAAATCAAAGCTGCTCCTTGATGAAAACATCAAAGAAAGAAAGAGAACTGATGATGGAGATAGATCAGAATGGGGAATGTTTTGATGAAGAAAATTAAAAGAGAGAGTTAAATAAATTTTATCATATTTGTTCTAATAAACAAATATATTTTTTACTGATTTTCTTTTTCATCTCTGTTAATTTCAATTATTTAATTTTATTTCTTTACTTCTTTAATGATATTGTGATTTTTAATAATACAATTAAAATCCACACACCTGACAGAAACAAGGGAGGGAGAAATTGGAACAAAAATGAAAGATACGGGGATAAAACGGAATAAAAATAAAAGATATAAGATCTAATTGAAACAAACCAAAGATTTTAGATGAAATTAAAATATATACTTTATTTTTTAAAGTTTTTTAATAAAACCAAATTCCGTGCTCTTTTCTCCATTGGTTAGTATTAGATTATTATGTTTGTATTTAATTTTATCAAATAAAATATAAATAGTGAAACTCAAACTTATAATTAATTAGTCAATAAATTTTTTATATATTATCAAAGAATTATTTCAACTTTAAAATTAATTGGTGAAATTTTAATATATGATTTAATATTTTTTTAACAAAACAAAACAATAACAAGTATACACTGAACTATACTCGGAAAAGGCCCATGTATTTGAACTTAGCAAATAGAAGACTCGGCAGGATTCATATAAAAGTCATATCTAGAAAATTTTCATTTGAATGCCAATTTATTCTTGGTCAATCAATTAAGTCAATGCTCAGGCCGGTCATTTTTAATTGACAAAGTAAAATGTATTCTCAGAGATGATTATTCTCTCCCCATGATCACCTCTACAACTTTAATAGTCCCATTACTCCACATGGTTTCAAGCGACTTTCCAAGCCGCCCTTTTTTTCCCCGTTAAATTTGCTCCAAAATGATCCTGATGACAACCATAGATGTAAATTTAGTCATGTTTTTGCTGATCATACCGTTTTCAGCTCTCCCAGCCATTACTGTTGCAGACCATCTTGTTACATCTTGCTCCGATAACACAAGCAACTACACTCTCAACAGTCCATTTGAGAGCAACCTCAAGCATCTTCTTGAGACCTTGCCTTCCATCACTTCATTAACAGGTTTTAACTACACCTCTGTTGGAGAACCCCCTGCCAAGGTCTATGGCCAAGCACTGTGCAGAGGTGATGTCAACTCAAGTTCTTGTCAGGCTTGTGTGGAGAAGGCAAGCCAAGAAATCTTTAATGATTGTAGAAATTATAAAGATGCAATCATATGGTATGAACTTTGCCAAGTTCACTACTCGTTTCAGAATATGACTTCCTTGTATGTTTATACAGGGAAGTATCCAGACTGCGATTCTCAGGCGAAATTTCTATCAGATCCAAAACAGTTCTCTGATGTTCTAATCTACTTAATGACTAAACTGTCAACTGAGGCCGCTGTCAATCCTTCCAAGCACATGTTTGCAACTGGGTCAATCAAATTTAGAAGGGAAACCGTATATGCTCATGCACAGTGCACACGAGATATCATAGCAGATGATTGTCAAACATGTTTGACAACTGCTTTGGCTGAACTCAAAGGATGCTGTTCGTCACGGCAAGGTGGAATTATTGTTAGCAGGAATTGCCATGTGAGATTTGAGCTGTACAAATATTACAATGCCTCGAGTTACTTGTTAACATATCCGAATCCTAAAGGTTAGTGAACATAAATTTTTTTTGCTGAAAATCTGTGAGCGAAAAAAGTAATCATGTCTAGCATGAATGACTGATATGGTTATTATTAATTCTTGCCCATGACGGATAACATGTAGCGCAAGATTGTCCACAATCTTAGTTTATTATTTTTGGAGATTAAATATTTTTCTACATCAATTGAATCTTATGCAATTCTCTGCTTTGCATGGCAGGAAGTAATTGGAAGATTGGGATAGTGGCATTTGCTGCATGTGCTCCTGTAGTGGTGATTGTAATTGTCATTGGGTCTTGCATTGTATGTCTGCTGAAAGAAAGACGACAACAAAGAGGTAAATTAACTAAGCGATCAGCAGATTGTTAGGCTAAATTGATATCAGAACTACAAAAGAGTAAAACTCCGATTCTTTGTCAGGCGTGGAAAGAAGTCACCTAGCATTACTACAGGAATTGGCCTGTCCAAGAGGGGTCACAATGACAGATGAAGGTCAGTTGGTAAGTTCTGAGGACCTGCCTTTCATGGACTTGACTACTATCAGAGCAGCTACAGACAACTTCTCCGATTCAAATAAGCTTGGACAAGGTGGGTTTGGCACTGTTTATAAGGTAAGTGGTAAAGGTGTGCTGTCATAATCCACTGAGATTCAGGAGTATGTCTTTCCAATCCATCCCTCTAGGAAAACCGAGTTTTTTGTTCAGTTTGCCATGGCTTAAGATTGCTTCAGTTGATAAAATTTGCCTCGTCGCAAATTTGTTTCAGGGTGTGTTACCAGATGGGAAAGAAATAGCTGTTAAAAGGCTGTCAAGGAAGTCATGGCAAGGCTTAGAGGAGTTCAAGAATGAAGTCAAAGTAATTGCAAAATTACAGCACCGAAACCTTGTGAGGCTATTGGGATGTGGCATAGAAGGAGATGAAAAGCTGCTCATATATGAATTCATGCATAACAAAAGCCTTGATATCTTTATCTTTGGTCTGTTCCTTCCATTTAGCTTGCCTTTGAATTCTTAAATATTACATTTTCAACAATTAAACGATGCAAGAGGCTGAAGTTTCTTCTTATTCAAATTTCAGATGCCGAAAGACGCGCACTTCTTGATTGGGATACATGTTACAACATAGCTGGTGGGATTGCTAGAGGACTTCTTTACCTGCACGAGGATTCCCGGCTTAGAATCATTCACCGGGATTTGAAACCTAGCAATGTGCTACTAGACCATGAAATGGTTGCCAAGATATCAGACTTTGGCATGGCTAGAATTTTCTGCGAAAACCAGAACAAAGCTAACACTAGAAGAGTAGTAGGAACATTGTAAGCCCTCTTTTAATTTTTTTTTTTAACTCTAATTTCTTTTTCTAGTTTGGTGATGATTTTAGTCCTAAATTCTTGTAACTTATTAAAAGTACGTCTTACGCACGAAACAGCGGGTATATGGCTCCGGAGTACGCAATGGGAGGGCTCTTCTCAGTGAAATCAGATGTCTTCAGCTTTGGTGTTATACTACTGGAGATCACAAGTGGAAAAAGAAGTAGTGGCTTTTATCTCTCAGAACATGGCCAGACACTCTTAGCATATGTTTGTACAATACATCGCTGCCATCAAAATTTCCATTCAAATAATTTTCAACCTATCAAAAAGAATTTGAAGCTTGAAAATTATAACTAGGTACTGTTATGA